CCAAATTCAGAAAACCTCCCACTTATTAATAAATGGCAAAAATTAAGAATAATCCATCATCAGTTCAGCAAGCGCTGGAAAACTGAATATCTCCACCATCTTCAAAAACGCTATAAATGGAAAGGATCCCAGCGAAATACGAAGGAATGTGATCTCGTCGTCATTAAAGACGACCTCCTACCCCCATACGAATGGTGACTAGGTCGCATAACGAAACTGCATCCCGGACCCGATCAAAACGTTCGCGTGGTAGACATCCGCATTCAATGACCCCTGAAGAGCGAGTCGGCCAAGGTACATCGCTCTTGCCTAAACTGCTTAGCGATATCCCACACCACGGGAGCCTGTGATAGCCCCGACAGCTACCGCCGTTGCAGCCTAGCTCACCGCACGATGCACGATGCTCAGTACACGACGTTCCCGAGGGCCAACCGAGAACGCGGAAGGTCACTTTCCGACCTGTCAATACTCGGCGCACCAAACAACCGTCAAAGGCAACGCAACAACCAAGAAGCGCGAAATCATCAAGTTTGATAGCCCGACAGACTACTCGAAGGACCGTCTCCCATAATCCACCTGCCGTGCAACAAAGGATCCGCGGTTCGGTAAAAAGAGCCCGCGAGTCACTGAACCAGCTTGAGGACCTTGTCGATTTATTGTTGTCGCAGGCCCGCCGGCATGTTGAAGACATGGATGAGGATGACCTCATCATCCTATAAGTACTATTTAGAAAAAAATATTTAAGTAGAAAATGAATTACGAAACAACATAAGAAATAATATTTTAATTAAATGAATTTATAAATAATGAATACTTACCTATGTATATATTTACCTGCATACTCACCTCACTGAATTTACTCCCATTCCAAACATACTTACTGGCAACCCTAATCCGTTCCGTTTTCTCTTATTCCTATAACTATGTAAAATAATAATGTATATAAATATGCGTAATAGTAATTTTAAGTTAGAAATATTGATTCGCTCGCTCAAATTAATAAAGTGTAAAAGACATTTTGAATATAAAAAATAAAAAGAGGTGGTGTTATTATTTTTTAATTTGAAACTTTCTACATATGGAAATATTATCATCTTTTGGAAGATTAAAGTTTAAAATAAGCATTGTGCGTATTTTGAGCACTTTTTCTTCTTAATGGGACGTATTCTCTTTCGTTACTATTAATATTCGAAGCAACTCACAGCATAGCGACTCAGCTAAAACTACCTCCCTTATGAGAGAGCCCTGTTAATGAGAAACTACGACCATTGGTGTTGCTATATTTGTTATTTTTATCTGTTATAGGCTTTTTCAATAAATTAACCAAAACTAAGCAAATCTTTTTCGAAACAGATGATAACTGCACTATGAATTTATAGGATGGAGCTCGGGGTTGAGCTCCGGGTGAGAGATTTGAAGAAGGTGCGGGGTGACCATTCCATTTGTTAAGAGGGGAATATATTTTAGCGTTATGGTACTTCAAAATTTGTGAAGAGGGGGGTGCTCCGTGGAGCTCTTGGAACTTCTGGTGCTGGCAAGCGTCTAAGCATGCAATCGTGCGAGCTGTCCTATATCAAGAAAGCACCCTGAGTGGAGTGAGCTTAGCATCAATTGATAGTGTCTACCTGGGAATTCTACTTTTGCATATAACTATGCTTGAGTATAAACATATTGTTGCGAAAATGCGAGGCGAATGTCAGATGAAAGAGAGAAGCCGATAACTAGTACATTCTAGAAACGATAAAACAAGAACCTTCCATAGCGAACAATTCGATGCTTCTACGCTTTCGTCTGCGAGCAGCCGACTGCTATATAAAGGCGACACTCAGCTGCAAGTCAAGTTAGTTTACAAAGTGAGCTCGTTGGCGTTAACATCAGTTAAGTCGTAAAGTGAACGCGTTGGGAATTACATTTAAGTAGAGTAAATTGTGAAAGTTGATGCAAGTGATTGTAGCTAGTAAAGTGTCTTGTAATTAAATTGTGAATTACGGAGTAAACAAAGGACATTAGATAGAATCTTTATAACGAAAGAAACTGCAAATTAAGTTGGCGAGTTTTATTTAACAATCCAGAGATCGTACGCGAAGGATTCAGGAAATCATCGAGGTTGATTTAGTAAAATCGTAACAATATGAACACTCGTACATGCATATATGCATAAGTACATCAAATGACAGGAAGCAAATGACTTATGCCTAAAAGTATGCTGTGGAAAACAGGATTAGGGTGCTGCTGTACCTTCGTTAAAAGTTAAATAAATAAAAACATTTTTAAATGCTGTTTAGTTCAAATTTAAACATCTGCTACTATATATAAAAATGTCTGAATGTTTTCAGTACGTGAGCGGAATGTTCACCTGGGACAATCCATGTCACTCTAGGGAGCCCGCCTCCTTTAGGGTTAAATACACTTCTTCAAACCGTAATAACTACGACCGCGCAGTAACATTTTCATCTGATCCCTTCGGTGCGCCTGGGTCGCTTTCCGTATGTATTTGTGAGCAAAAACAAACCGATACTTCAAAATTTCTCTAGACATCATGTATCTCGACTAGCTTTGTTGAAACAAAATTTTATGCATTCACAAATTCACATTGCGTTAACAGCGGGGTTAGGCTGAACTACAAGTGAGCGTAAGGGATTTTCTAATGGGGATGGCTGAAGGGCCAACTTTTTGTCTCACGTGTGCTCGCTAATAATTCGAAATTAAATTTTATTAGATAGAAATTAAAAATTATTAGATAGAATATCACGGATGGTAAGATGCAATAATGTAGTAACTCTCAAAATAAAATAACAAAAAATAATAAACTAGGTTAATAAATATATTGAAAAAAAATTAGATCAATCGACTTTCTAACTATTAAAACTAACAGTACTGTGAAGCAGCTTATGAAAAATCAACAAATAAGAATGAAACAACTTCTACCCACAAAATATACAATATATTTGGTTCATATATGTATATAGAAAGTACAAAGGTGTATAATGCTTCTTTTTCATATATGTATTTTCTCATTTTTATTTTAAAGAAAAAAGTTATTTTTGTTATATTGAAACAAAAGATTTAATTTAAATGTTAGGTCTTTTGAAATGAAAACGTGATTGAAAATAACTTCTTCCATTTTCATTGCATTGATTAAAAAAATTTAAGATGGGTGCCGTATTGCTTCATTCATTAAGTTGACTTGTCGAAAAACGTTGCAAGCGCAATCAGTGAAGATTTTATGCTCTCTAGTAAAACGTGTTTTTCCAACAAATGAAGCGACCTAAAGTTCATACTAAGCCCCCTACGAACGGCTAATGGATTTTTTTGAGGAGCCTTTATTTCATGTCAGTAATACACTTACGGGCCTATTCTGTCGAGGTAACAAAATTTACCTTGGTATTAAAATATACCATTCAGTTAATTTTGTTAACATTTCGTATTCTGAACTCACTATTACCCTGCAAATTTTAGGCAGGTAACAAACATATCTGCTGATTGATTTTGTGTTGTAAGTTTGAGAAAAAATAAAAAAACTAAAAGGGTAGGCATATTTTAGGCTTGGAATTCAATGAAAATGAGGAAAAAATTGCAAATAGCCGTATTTTAAGAAGTTTTCGAGACTAAAAAATAGTCCTTTAATTTGTAAGATAACGTTTTCATTCAGCTTCTTTTTTAAATTTTTTTGTGCATCGTCTCCCAATTCGATGTGAATATTTTTCTTTTTACTTTATCAACTGGCAAATGACGAAAAAAACAGTGCTGCCAAATTTTTTTTCAAATATTGTAACCAGTTCGCCAGAATACCAAATTATATTTCGGGTGTTAAAGAAAAGGAACAAAATTTACTTTACCAGTAACAGTGAGAATAGACCTGTTAGAGGGATTGATATTCCCTGCCGAAGGGGTATCGCATTAGAAAACTTAACTTAATTTTTAACTTAAATTAATTTTCTATAACTTTTGGATGTTGGTCGGACCAGGGCTCGAAACCTGCTCTTCCAAATGGCAGTACGCATTGCTAACCGCAGCCGCGGAATATTATAACTCAACAAAATTTACATAAATATTGGATTAGTCCATCTGTAATAATGTTGTAAACCGTATATTTCATGTATGTAGTATTGTTTGCGTGGCTTATTATGGTTAAAAAAGCTTACAACTACATTGAGTAGGACCAGCTATTCGCTTGTACAAAAAAATGCTTTTTTGAACGTGAAATTTTTGAAATTCTCTAAGTTATTAATTTAAAAATATATGGAGAGAGCAACCTTTAGGTATTGAACAACATATCATAACTTGACTGGAATTAGCTCCCACAAGTGCTCAACATAAAATAAATTGAACTTAAGATACAGTTTTTAAAAACATATGTCGGTGCCAGTGCTACCAATTTTCAAATTGGATAAAATAGGGATGACCTTGTTGGTTGATTTGGTAACACACGCATTATCGTATGTTAATAACAGGGTGGAAGAAAACAGCATTTTGATGTTGAACAATATACTTGCACATCTATAAATGAATGAAGCTAACAATATATTTACATACATGTGGTTGTGTTAGTATAAATAGATACCCAATTGGAAAATTTATATCATTAAATTTTTTTTTTTTAATATTACAAGACTTTTTTGAAACACGAATGAATTAAAGACTTTTATTGTAAGAAAACATGTACGAAATTTCTTTTCTTATTACGTTCACGAAGTGGTAAAAAATAATAAAAACTTGTTACAAAAAATAAGTGCTAATCTTTATTTATACCTGCGGATAAGTTTGGTATTATGACGCGTTTTAAATGAAGAATAGTATTGTGAGTATTGTTTGTTGTACAGTGGTGAAAATGATTTTGTATATCAACCAATATATTATTTTATGTATTCCAGCTGGGTCTGAATGAATAGAAAAAATCTGAGTTTTGTTTTACACTAGGTAATTTCCCATCAAGGCATGCATACATACATACATGCGTATCTTGAAAAAAGAGCTGTACATTCTGTGTAGGTCTACTAGCTGCATTAGTATCAACGGGGTTGGCAATCAAATAAACTTCAATAGGTGGTAGTGATTTATGAAATAAGTAAAATATTAGAAACTAATTGAATATATTTTTAATTTCAAAAAATCCAATTTGATACAAAATCGTTACTGTTTTCTTTATTAGAGTTGTGTTTCATTGAAAGTTTCCAGAAATACCCACACCCATATATACATTTGTACATATGTATGTATGAATGTTCATAAAACCGAACTAGAAGTGCGAGTGAATATGGTCAATGGTCAAAATAGGTTAGTGGCGAAATTAAATAATAATAGAAAAAAAAGATTATACACTAAGTAAATAAATTTTTTTAATACCATAAATATCGATGTGTTCACATGCATATATACTGATTTAAGTTTATTATTTTTTTACTGGGCGCAGTGAGTTAACAACATGTGAATCTTCTATTTATTTAGGTGAAAAGCAGTGTTAAAAAGTTATTTCACAGTAAAAAACGTGTTTAATGTTTTCTAAATGTTTTCAGTACATCAACAATTGAAACGTAAACATAATGAAATAATAATTCCAAAAAATTTGTTAATGCGCCTGAAAATGTGCATTGAAATTGGAAAAGGTTGCTGCAGTAAGTCGATTTTAAAGTAGCGCTCATAGCTATCCAATTAATGTTGAAATAAACGACCTTGGGCCATTAAAAATTTTGGGGAGAATGAGAAATAGTATAGTTCATTGAGGTAGTGTTCATATACATAAAGAAATAACTTCAAACTCAAAATAGTTAAATCGCTATTGCATAAATATTAAATTGAGTGGCAAATACACAGTCAAATTACATATCTTCTCTTCCGTCCTAACCACTCATCAGATAAGACGCCGACGGTAATAATAAGTATTGCACATGTCCTACAGGTTTGGTGCGATTGGATTTATATCATTTTAGTTTGTTGGAAAGGGTGTAACTTTGCTAGTGTCAATATCAGAACACTGAAACAGTTTTACTAAAATCATAAGTTTTTTTGTCAAGTTGATTTTTGGTAGTTCTTCGCTTGAAAGATACAATAATTGGGAGCAAGCTATGGATGATAAACACTATTTTTTTCACGCTGAGCTTAAATCCGAACATACCATTTAGCTTTCATAGCTTATTCTCCAATAGCTTGCACTGAGTAAAAGGCAGACAGCTCATAAAACCAATGACGAGTATCAATTTTATAGTACAATACTTCCAGAAGAGTGGCATTATATGCTTCTTCCTTTAAAAAAGCCCCCATTGAAAGTTTAACTTGTGGAAACGTTAAATTCTGTGCTCGTACTTTCTAGTTGACAAACGTATCGGATCTAAAGTAGACTTTACAAAAGTGACACCGGTCAAAAAGCTATTTAGTTCTGAGTTCTACATTTTTTTAATTAAAATTTGTAGTAGTTCTTGTATTCAGAGCAGCAAGAGCCGATATATCGTAAAGTAAAAGGGTAAAATATTTAAAGCAAACTATATGAACTTAAATAAAAGTTTAATTGTCTGGTGTGATTTTTAGCGAGCGCCTTTTTGTTCTTCACAAAAATTGTATGACCATCTTCTATTCTCCGATGGATATAAACGAAAACCTTTTATTTATTATCAGAAACACAACCGAATGTATTGAAGTTCTTCTACTTAAAGTCACTCCGGAGTCTATTTCACATAGAACAGGCCTTTCTTAATTTTTTATCTGAACAAACCACAAACTGCCGGTGATTTTTCAACTACACAATCATGTGATTAAGATATACATTATTTATTCTCCTGCTTTCTTCCACAATTTTATCTTCTCTGTATGCCATCGAAAGGACCGTACAGAGTGATGGTTATCTCTAACCGTCTCCCTGTCTCACTCATATTGTAGTTTACTTCCCTGTTTAAAATTTATTTATTTGCCATTGAGCACAAACTTTAATTATGTTTTAAAATATAACTTCTTTACGTCCGCTGGACTTGAGGGTTAACTGATGAATGTGTTACGGAGGCGATACCAGAAATGTGCTCACGCGAGGCGATCGGAATTTGAGAGGGGAGATATGTTCTGGTTAAAACAGAATGAGAGAGTTACGTTCGTATATCTTATACACAGTACTGGCGTATTTATTTTATAAATTGGATAGCAAATTTAATACGAAAGACTTCTTATGCTTTGACGATAAAAATAGATACTTATACAAAACAAAAATCAAGAACCTATGCATTTTTTTTGTAGATTTCTTTCGAACAGCATTCGAAAATAGATCTATTTTAAAGCTTTGAGCTGTTCTTCTTTCAATAATTAAAAAAGATTAATCAATTACAGCTAAAGCTTCGAGTCCTTCTTTAGCTGTAATCATTGCGATACATTGTAGTGATTTTTAATGTGTTCGAAGCGATTATAATTAATTTTATGGTGAGTGTATTGACTTCTTCCAAAAATTGGAGCTCTTATTTTATGTCAAAAATACATTTCGAGGGGAAATTAGGGCAATCATCTAAATTCCGTTTGCAGTGTGTATTATGTCAACTTCTCGGCTATTGCATTTTTCCACACCTGTAATGAAGCAATGGGCTTTTCGGATATGCGGAGTTATAGAGTAAGTGCGGGATATATGGATACCCATTTTATTTTCCTTTGTAAAATACAGAGCTTTTAATCAACATTAACGAAAATTGAATTTTCAGATCAAACAAATATTACATACATGTGAAGCAAAAGGCAATAGGTCTAAAGCTGGCAGTTGAAATTGTCTACAACTTCCAAGCTATGATTCTTAACAGTGATGTGGGAGCTGAGTCCCGATAGCGATTACTGTTTATTTATTGACAGAAGTTATTACGTCTTCGTTCACTGCCTCGTTCACTACCAGACCCATATCCTATGTGGATGAAGCAAAACTCTCGGTGCGGCTGTTGATGTCGATAATGTCAATATCTTCGGCGTATGCCAGCAGCTGTACACTCTTATAGAAGATTGTACCTTCTCTTTTCAACTCTGCAGCTCTCATTACTTTCTCCAGCAATAAATTAAAGAAATCACACTGTCTGAAACCTAGTATCGAACAGTACGGAGGGGTCCTTCCCGATCCTGACAGAGATTTTAGTGTTTGCTAAAAGTCAGTTTACATAGCCGTATAGGCTTTACGGCGTCCATCGATCTTCTTAACACGGGTCTTTTGTGATTTACCAGCTCTAAAGGCATACTGCTTTGTACTAAACATAGCTATGGTTTATCTGCTTGCTCTGTAACGAAATAGTTTATCTAAGTCCACTCATGATTGCTTGTATCCTTGATGGTATTCAAGAGATATGATCTCTAATGTAGTGGTTAGCATGATTGGTGCTATGTTAGCTTTGATATGTCACGGTAAGCCAATATTTGCTCAATACTGATATATTGTTGGTATACGATTCACATCATGAAATATGATATTGTTTAAGTTTTTATTTTTGGCAATTTGCCAGTACATCGTACTAAAGCTTAAGTGTTAAAAATCTATTTTCTCTTGTTATTCTCACTTCTAACTCATATTCTAGATAATATCCTAGTACAACGTACTTAAGTTGTGCAAATCTATTCTTTCGTTTTATTCTCACCTTCCCAGGAATCAGAAGCAATCTGACGAAAATCCTATTCAATCGGTGTGGTAACTGTACAAACGGACTCAAGATTTTTTTTCGAATAGGTCAGCCCCGGGCCACTTCCTGCAATTGCTGTTTTGTGCAACCCCACAGACGTTTCCCTGTCCATACGTCTTAAAAATAAACAATGAGACCGTTATGATAAAAAAATTTATTAGAAACTTATTGCAATACCCAACGTTATTCATATGTATTTATCACAATTCAACCAATCGATATAATGTGAGTATGTGCTTTCAGATATGTTAAGTGTAGAAGCTGTGTTCAATAAAAAAGTCGTTTCAATTGAAAGTGATAAGGTCCAATCTTAAACTATTCTTTAAAAGGTAATTATTCTAAGAGTTAGTTATATACAAATACTGAAATTATCGTAATGCTATCGGATGTACAACATATAATTGACCGTGAGAAAAGCACGATTTTCTAAATATAGTCCGCAAATCGTCATTGTTTGACCTTACGCTTAATTAATAGTCATCGCAAATGCCAAACAGATTGGAAAATTTTAACCGTTTGAATGGTATCGGTGAATCTGAGGGAATCATAGGAATCCTTGGCAGAAGTACAACTTCACCTTGAAAATTTCAACTCAATATAGTGGCTTCAAGAATGTTGCCCATGATGTTTTTGTGACTAATCGCGTTCCATTACACACATTTTGACAAGTTTCGAAGCAAAATTATAGGTGAGCACATATTTAACTGCAAGTTATGTGGTGGCATGCCAGGTAAATCCAGTGAATTCGAAAATTCTGTTATCCGGTAGAACTGACAACTTCATCCGGATCAACAACAGTGTTAATTGATTGGAATGTAAATTCATCACCAGGCATTGACTTTTTTTTTGAAATTGATCGCGTCGACATCTACATTTTTTGCAGCTAAAATAGCTCGATCACGTAGCCATATAGGGTTTGTATAATTAGATTTTATCTCGGGAAAAATTCCTTGTCTTAGCCACACTATGGAAAAAAAGTTCTGGAAGTTTAATATATTCTGTATCTTCATACAATTGAATTTCACCCTTACCAATGTTAAGTAATTGTTCTGAAAATCGCAACGCCGATGGGTCATTTCGGAATTGTACGCGCATATTAATTGTGAAGCTTAATTTACTGACAGGTCGCCATAGATAGGACTCATTCAAACATGCGTTTATTTCATCCGCATATGTAGCACGTGAAATGACAGGAAAAGTTTGTATGAAATCACCAGACAGCAATAGCAGAACACCACCGATATATCCTTCAGGGTCCTGTCAAGAGCTTCTCGCGAATGCTTATGGGCCATTGTGCATTCATTAAAAATAATAATTTTGCACTTTCTCAGAACATCAGTCATTCCTGAATTTTTCTTTATGTTACACATTGCATTAGGGCTCGTATGAACATTTAGAGGTATTGAGTGCTGAATGGACAGTTCGCCCACCATAAAGTAGAGAGGCTGCAATACCTGATGAAGCAATCGCCAATGCTATGTGATTTTGTGATCGAATGCTCGTATCAGTGAGATAAGGTATGTTTTACCAGTGCCACCTTTTGCATTCAAATAATAAAATCCTTCTCGCTGTGTGGCTATCGTTGCGTTGATTTTATTGTATACATTTCGTTTCTCAGCAGTGAGCGATTGTTCGTTATTAGCAACAAAA